CACATTGGCTAATCATTTCTGAAAAAGACGTACTTCCCCTGAGCAAGCTGGGTAGCTGCTAAAGTGGCCTTCTGATTTGTTATCTTAAAATTTCCACGAGTCCCTACAACTGACAAAGCCTCTTTAGCAGTGCTTTTTGGGAAAAAAACAGGTGCCGCAGGAGACATAAACAACTCAAATAAGCAAAGCAGAGCAGAGCTCACATTGGCTAATCATTTCTGAAAAAGACGTACTTCCCCTGAGCAAGCTGGGTAGCTGCTAAAGTGGCCTTCTGATTTGTTATCTTAAAATTTCCACGAGTCCCTACAACTGACAAAGCCTCTTTAGCAGTGCTTTTTGGGAAAAAAACAGGTGCCGCAGGAGACATAAACAACTCAAATAAGCAAAGCAGAGCAGAGCTGCTGGGCTAACTCACTTAACAGTGTATCAATTGAAACTGGAAGGTAGCCAGTTCTGGGAAACTGGAAGGTAGCCAGATCAGCAACACCAGGCCAAAACAGCATGAGATGCCTCTATTCATGGTATGTGCTAAAATCTGGACTGCTTGGCTTTCCAGGAAGAAGATGTTCTCCACAGATGAGTAATCATTATGTAGCCCTATGGATGCATGCAACAGTGCCGAAGAAGGCTAGTATTAGAGAGCTGCATTTAACTGAGCACTAGAATCAGTCACACTGTTATTATGGGTGGGTCATCAACTCTGATTAGAATCAGACATTGCTAAATCCCCACCAATCATCCATATCCTGAAGAGACTGATGAAAACAGATGGCATTCAGCACATGGTTGTTCAGCGATCTTGAGTTGGCCCATCAGCAAAAATAGTCATTCTGGTTGTATTTGCTGTTAATATTACAAGGGGGGGAGGGGAACAGTTTCGCCAATACTTGTGGTAGCAAAAATGAATGCATGAGGAAGTGAGAGAGAAGTGATGGGGAACAACAGAGGGTCAGAATAAAGTCAAATAGAAGAGAGAAAGAAGACAGAAAGACAGTACAGAGAGGCAGAGGAGATAAAGGAGGTAGAGAGAGGATAGTGAGCAAGATACAAAAATGACAGTGAAAGGAGAGGGAGCAACAACAGTGGAGAAGCTAGACCATGGAGTCTGGACCTTCATCTTGATCTATACTTCCTCTAGTATCTAATGGGGCAGTCCCAGTGAGCCAAAGTTCACTCTCACCCTTTCCTTGTAGGCCTTCATGCTGTTCCTCTGGCTCTCCCTACATTTCCTGCATTTGAAGAAGTAAAGAAGAACGAGGACATTTTGGGTGCGTCTACACTGCACCATAACTCGAAATAAGATGTGCAATTTGCATAGCTCAAATTGCATATCATATTTCAATGCTATTTCGAAATAGCTTATTTCACCATTTGGCACTGCTTACACAGCGCCAAATTTTGAAATAAAGTGCTACTGCAAAATGTCCCTTACTCCTTGTAGAATGAAGTTTACAGGGACGTTGGAATAGTGAGCCCAAAATAATGGGCTTGCTGTGAGGACATGGGATAGCTATTTTAGGATACTCTGGTATCCCAATGTAGAGTTGCAGTGTAGACACACCCATTTCAGTGTAACGACAACCCATATCACAAAGATTAAGAGTCCCAGTAAAATTGATGGGTCTATTGCACCAAACTTAAGGATTAAGTTACTATTGGCTATGTCTGCAAGGTGTAATAAGTTGATTTAAGTGATAGTTGATGGTCCCCTCATTTTATTTTTTATGATTGATGTTTCCATGACAAAAAATTCAGGCTACATTTTCTTGAGGCATGCTCATCTTTTATTAGTTTTCTTATAGTTATGTATTTCACAAGAAAATGGAATTTTTTGAAGCAGCTCAATGTAGTGTGAGATTCATGGAGTCAAAAAGATACAGGAAGAGGAAAGTCAAACCATTCATTCTGAATTTTCAGTCAAGGTTCAGCTGCAGCGTTAAAATTTGTAAGAGTGAATTTTACAGGGATAGAGTCACTCCAAAATATGTGCTTCATATATCAGAAACATAGTGCAAGAGATACAAAGTGCAATGGTTATAAGGGTGCATGTGATCAAGAAAAAAATGTCTATTAAATATCAGTAATTTTACTAAAGATAAATGAATTCTAAAATCTAATTTTCTCTTCATTGCTTGGTTTTTTGCATTGCAATGGACATTGGAACCAGATTAATCACTTTGACTGTATAATCAGATTCATTTTCTTTTTTTAATAGACTGATTAAAACAGTGTTGCCTTAAGCTTTTCAAAACTGAGGCCCTAACAAATCATGCTAATAATCAAGAAAGGAACAGACGGAAAAGTTAAAGTGAGCAATCTAGTATCAGCAGGCCCTCTCAGAGAATGACAGAGGCCCAGCCACTTTGAGTTTAGAGGCCCCAGCCCGAGCCCCAGACCCCCTACTTATCTAACTTCTCATCCACAGGGTCATACTAAAACCAAAAGAATACATGAAAATGAACACTCGAGACATTTATTCAGGCTTTGCACAGGTACAAGTAATGAAAAACCCCTACATACACTGTTTTGTTTGCATTTTGATTAACAGTAAGATGCACTACAGTACTTGGATAGACACCAAGCAAAAATTAAAAATGAATCCCCCTTCCCCTGCCTTCATACCTTCAACACACACACCCATTCACCTCTCAAGCGTCCTCTGTTTCTCTCCCACTGGGGAGCCAATGTCCTAAAATTTAGATTAAAGCAATGAACCAGATTAACCAGAAGGTTCTGACTGCTTTGCACAGCTCCAGTAACACCAAGCAGCCACATATATAGCTCAAGTGACTTGCTAAACTGCATTTATAGTTGCGTTGTATCACTGTATAGGGGAGAAGCTGCAAAAATGGGTTGGCAAATAAGATCCCATAACCTTTCCCATGAATTCAATGCTATAGAATTTAAAGGAAAAATAAATCCCTGCTATAGAATTCTAGAGAAAATTTCATCCTCTTAAATTGAATAAGAATTTTCAGTAGGGATGAAAGATTATCTCCGCCCCTGGAGGAGGAGCTGAAATTTTTCTGTCTCTATTTGTATATCTGGAGTAAATAATACACACTGTCAGTATGCACCTTGCTTTTAGATGTTTGCAGAGTGGCAAATTAACACACTTCCTTTTACAAAGATGCTTCTTTTTATTTTCCTATAAAAATTGGTACATTCAGGACTCGAGGTCAACAGCAGAACTCCAGTCGCCTCATTGGATCAGCATATTGAAGTCATTATGGAATTATGTATTTTCTTTTTAACTGGAGATAATTTCATGTCTTATATTTCAAAACATTTCCTATTGTCATGTAAGTAATCAGTTACTGTTTGGTCCTTTTCTTCCTATGTTAGCCATGAGAAGAGGTGCCCAAGAGGGAGTAGCTCCTGGGAATAAGCATCCCTGGAGAAAGGAAAACACTAGTTTTTGAAAATAAAATACATGTTGCACATATACTTTACATAGTAAAAATGGCCTTGGATAGGTCATCCCTACAGCTAGTGCTATCAATTTTACAGTGCTAGCGTTTTCATTAGATGCATTAGCATGCACACAGCCCATAACATTAGCCACAGCAGGAGCCCATTTGTTCCTTTAAGCACTACATCCCCAAAAGATTTGAAAGAGTTTTATTCCAGATAAGTTACTGTACAAATCTGGAGATAATATAGAATTCTGCCTCTGGCTCAGTGCACCGAGTCAGACACCCACACCACAATAAGGTAAATTACATGAGCGCACCCAAAAGGAATGCTGTTATGGAACAGCACACCAAACCCACAGCCAGTGGAGCTATCATACAGTATCTCACACATCCTTTCCATTGTCATGTTTACAGATTGCCTGTAGCAAACAGTTTTGTAAAGACATCAGTTCAGAGAGGTGAGCCAAGAGTGCCTGAAATAATAGGCTCATGACTCTCAACATGGTGACTAGTTTGAGGAAATGTTCCTTACCTAGGCCATTGTTTTATCTTTCCTGCCTGGTTTCATTTAACAACCCCTTTCGATATCACACAGATACTCTAAGGGGCGTGTGGTATTTATTAAAATAAATACAAGCATTTCCTAGTTCTCCCCACTGCTTGCCTCTGGCCTAGTGCCACACAAACTGATTAAAGGGTATGCTAGACACCCACAAAGAATAATTGTAAACAGTCTCCACCCTCTCGGCCTGTTCTTATGATTCTGCTCCTGTGCACTACTCCCTACTTGAACTCTGCACGGTAAAGATTCTTTTGCTGTTTTGTGTAACATTGGTATTCAATGAAACTTGAACTCACCTGGCTGGTCAGTGTGGCTATTTTGCTTTCAACACTCTCTCCTGCCTCTTGCTTTGCCTGAGTCATCTCTACTTCCTGTTTCTTCAGAATGAGTGTAGACACAAACTAAACTTCAGCTCCCATGAACATAGTGTGCCTGTCTGCCTGCCTAACCAAGTGCATTTGGGCTGTGTCTACACTACATGCCTCTGTCGGCAGAGGCATGTAGATTAGGGTTGTAGGCAAAGGTAAATGAAACCGCGATTTAAATGATCGCGGCTTCATTTACATTTACATGGCTGCCGCGCTGAGCTGACAAACAGCTGATCAGCTGTTTGTCGGCTCACCGCTAGTCTGGACGTTCCCCCTGTCGACATCAAAGCCCTTTGTCGGCAGCCCCGGTAAACCTCATTCCACGAGGAATAACGGGGCTGCCGACAAAGGGCTTTGATGTCGACAGGGGGAACG